CCCCCCCCCCTGTGGTGCTGTGGTCCTGTGGTCTGGGTCCTGTGCTGAAGGTTTGTCGAGGGTTTGAAAGATGGTCTTGAGAGAAGTTTTGCGGAGAATTCATGGTTCTGGGATGTTGTAGATGTGGCTCATTCCCGATGATGGGGACCATACCATGGGGGGGGGGGAGGGGGCTGAGAACGTGGAGCGCGGACGCATATATACCTTAACAGCAACCCAGATTCAGCTGGTACTGGTAGTCACCACTCTTGGCCAGGATCAAGGTTTTCCTCGCTGACCTTTTGAGTTGAAGTTTTAGGGTTCAGAGTTTAGGGTTTCTGATCTGAAAACAGCTACACCCTAAACCCGAGAACCCGAAACCCTTAACCCGAAACCCCTAGACCCCTAAACCGTAAACCCCTTAACCCTAAACCCTGAACCCCTAAACACCGAAACCCTACACCTTCCAAGTTTGAAAACCTTTTCCTGTACACCAGATCCACCGCAGTCAAGGCAGCCGCTATGTTCTCACCGGACTCGTCCACCATATCCTCGCCCAGGCCCATCCTGGCATGTTTTTTTGGGCTTAGGGTTTAGGATTATCCCCTAAACCTGAAGCCCTAAACCCTAAACGCTGAACCCCTTATTAGGGTCCTAGACCCTAAACCCTGAACCCTAACCCAGCCTGAGCATATCCGGGCCATAGTAGAGCATGATTTGAGGACCAACAGGGCTTCCTGCCAGCTCCTGGACCAAAGTTTAGGGTTCAGGGTTTAGGGTTCAGGGTTTAAGGTTCAGGGTTTAGGCTTCGGGGTTTAGGGTTTAGAGGTCAGGGTTTAAGGGCTTAGAGTTTAGGGTGTACACGGGGATATTACCCCAATAGTGGAGAAAGAAAAGGAAAATGATTTTGGAAGCTGCCCTTCCAATAGATTATAGGGATGCATAGGGTTTAGGTTTTGGGTTTGAGGCTTTCAAGTTTCAGGGTCCAACCCTAAACCCTAAAGCTGTCAGAGCTCCTGTACCAAGGGAAGGAAATCGTTCAGCAACAGCTGACATACCTTCCCAGGGCTCTTGCACCTAAACCTAAACCCCCTAAACCCTAAACCCTTTGGGGTTTAGGGCTGGGGAGCCCAAAACCCTAAAGCCTACATCCACTATAAACCCCTAAAGGGAACTACGCCTTCTCTGGATTCTTGTAGGTGTTTCTGGTCAGTGCCAAAACGCGCAGGACAGCCAGGCCAGTTTCATGGCAAAACACCTGGGATTTAGGGTTTAGGGTTTAGCCTCGGGTTTAAGGTTTGGGGTTTGGGAGGTAGGGTTAATTGCTCTAGGGAGATATGTGGAGGTGCCAAAGGATTCCGGGGGGTCCCTTTCTAATGATTCCCTATGAGCCCTAGTCTAAACTCCTAGCATCCCCCTCAGTAACCCCTATAGTAGCGCCTTACACAATCACCTAAATAACCTCCTTTAAGGAGTTTAGACCATAGCCCAAGTCACAACAAAGGGGAGGGGGGACAATGTTGAGAAAGCCCCGCCTTGCTCTCGCACAAAGCCGCAAATTTCGCTTCGAACTCAGGATATGCCTTCTTAAAATTGGTGTACAGGAAGTTGAAGTACAGAGTACGCTCGTAAATCTTCGGATTGTCCACCAGCTTTGTAATGAGATCGTCCATGGCGGATGTGAAGCCTTGGATAGACTTAGGGGCCCTGAAAAAATTGAATGCAAGTGGTTTTAGGGGGATTATGTAAGCATTGTGGCCCAATATATTCAAGTTGTTGTCAAGATGATCCCAGAAGCCCATGTACACAGGCTGAATCGCGATTGGGAAGATGAATTTCTCATTGCAGGTTGCACCTGCCATGGGGGAGCCAAGGGGGGCTGCAACGGGAGACGTACCCTCATTTGGGCCTCATTTAACTCTTTACTTAATCCTTACTTGGGCAAAAGAGCCCCTTACAGCCACCTACTGTTGATACTAAAAATCCTGCATGACCTAAGTATACTATAGTACCATTATTCCCAAGGTTCAGGGTACTTAGGGTCATGCAGGATTTTTAGCATCCACCGTAGCACCCCACGAACCTGCGATGTCAAAAATGGAGTGGTAGAAGTAGTAGTGCAGCGTGCCGTTCATCAAGTGCTTCCGGTCCAACTCCAGCCTTACTGCTTCTCGGCAAGGAGTGGAAGTATGAATGGTTTAGGGTTTAGGGTTTTGTAGCCACAAAAAAATGAACCCTAAACCCTAAACCTTCGCAGTTGTATGTTCCATTTCCTTCCCCTTCCTTCATTCTAGCCTAACCCTAAACCCTAAACACCAAACCTTAAAACCTAAACCTTCCTGAACCCTAAATCCTAAAACCCTAAATAGCAGTTTCCATTTTATTTTCCATTATCGCTATATAACCCCAAGATAATCCTATGTAATCCCTATATAAGCCCAATGATAGAAAAATAACAGCCAGGAGCTAAACCCTCGTTTCCATTCAAATGTTGGTCTTTTCCATTTGATTCTCCACTTTTGGTGGTTAATAGCCCTATATTCCCAAAAGTAACCAGAACACGAGCAGGCCCCTGAACCCCAAACCCTAAGAACCCTAAACCCTAAGACCCTAAACCCTAAGACCCTAAGACCCTAAGAACCCTCAACCCTAAACCCTCAAACCCTAAGCAGGACAGGAGCAGGCCCCTGAAGTTGATACAAGCAATTTCTCCTTGGCCCAACTGTGGGAGCTGAAAATTGGTGGCAAAGCCTGCTAGGATGGATTCCTGGAGAGAAACGGAAAGGGTTTAGGGTTTAGGATTTAGGGTTTAGGGTTTAAGGTTTAGGGTTGGGGCTGAGGGCTTAGGAGTTTGGAGTTAAGGCCATATACGAAGAAATCTGAGCTGAATAACATAATGATACTACGAACAATGAAACAACAATAGTACCAATGCTGCTAGCACCACTACCACTGCTGCTGCCACGGTGGCTGCTGTTACTGCTGAGGCCGCCGCCGCCGCGGCTGCTGCTGATACTGCTAGTGCTACTGCTAGTGCTACTGCTGCTACTACTGCTACTGCTGCTACCAACTCCTTCTTACTACTATACGGCACTACTATACGGTACTACTGAAAAGTGAATCTCTAGATTGTTATATGATACTACTGTACAGTCCTAGCATATGCTATTGTTACATAATCATACTATATGTTTTTACGCTACCATTTCTGGCGATATTGCTGCTACGATGCACTACTACTACACACTCCTCCAGTAAGATTGTATTCTTTATATTAAATAATAGGCTGAAAAAAAAAAACAAAACATACATACTTACCCCAAACTCTGAAGGCTAAACCCTGAACCCTCAACTCTCCTGCCGCGACGGGGAAAGTTTCGAGACCGTGGGCAGCAGTTTCATCTTAAGCTCTGAATCTGCTAACGCACATGCCTGGATCATTCTTTAGGGTTTAGGGTTTAGGGCCAGGGTTTAGGGTTAGGGTTTTGCATTTAGGGCTTTAGGGATCAGAGTTTGGGGTTTAGGGTTTAAGGATTGGATCATTCGAAGAATCCCTTTTGGGATTCAGGGGTGATGGGTTAGGGCTTAGGGTAAGGTTTCGGGTTTAGGGATTGGGGTTTAAAAGTCATATGGGGATCTGCTCTGAGAGAGAGAGAGAGAGAGAGAGAGAGAGAGAGACATATATATATATATATATTTACCTACATATATATATATATGCGGTTATGCTAGGATGTTGATAGGTTGTATGCTCTTTTTTGGGGGCTCTTTGTCTTGATAAGCACCTCGTAGCCTCAAGGCCCTGCTTCTTCCCCATGACCTAAAAACCAACCCCCACATGCGCCCTTGTCTAAACTCCTAGTATCCCATAGTTTAGGGTTTAGGGTTTAGGGTTTAGGGTTCAGGGTTTAGGGTTAATAACCCCTGTAGTAGTCCCCTGTATAATCCCCTATCTAACCCCCCTGTAAGGAGTTTAGACTACAGCTCACATAATCTGTATTTCCGCACAACACATCATGGCCCCTATGGGAAAAGCTCATTGCCAGGGAGCTGGAAAGTTTTTTGAGGAACGACCCTAAACCCTAAACCCTTGGTAGAGGTTTAGGCTTTGGGCTTTAGCGTTTGGGGATTAGGTATAACCTAGTGCTAAAGGGAACCTGCCGCTGATGGAAGAAATTTAGCAAACCCTATACACCTTAGACCCTAGGAAGTACATTATACTTGGGATTGACCCGAACAGGAGACTGGGGCCCAATGGGGAACCCAGACAGTGACCGAGATGCTTAGTGTTAGGACATTTGGTACAATAGCGAATCAAACGCAAAGAGAACGGACGCCAAATGAGGTACCCCTACCCTAGAGTAAGCACCCTATAAGAGTCACATGATAGTCAGAGGGTCCTTTCGGGGGGTTGGGGTAACCCCTAAATCCTGAACCCCAGTCCGTAAACCCGAAACCCCTGAACCGCAAACCTTAAGCCCCAAACCCTAAACCCGAAACCCCTAAACCCTAAACCCAAAGCTCTAGGCCCTAAACCCTAAACCGCAAGCCCAGATTGCCAGTGCCCGGTCGTGATCATCTGAGCGCATGTCGGCCGGTAAGGAATTGTTGACCACCCTGCGGAAGCCATCATTCCTCACTTGGAGGGTCAGGGGTTTATGGTTTAGGGTTGCAGTCTCTGTGAGCTAGATCCCTTCCAAGGTGCTATGTACAATTTAGGGTTTGGGGTTTCATATGTGGTTAGGGTTTGGGGCGTAGGTCACTATGGAAAAACAGATGGGAAAGAGAATGGGGTTGTACAGGGGATTTTGTCACAATGGATAATCACATGAAAAGGAGAATGGGGTTGTGAAGGGGCTTTGGGATTTTTATTCAGTATTGTGAAGGGTTTGGTAACCCCAACACGTCAAAATTAAAAAGCCAAGTATAGTGCAAGTGGACCCTCCACCCTGTAATAGTGGTAGAATAGGAGTATAAGAGGACCCTGATACAAAAACCAGTATCCCTTATAGTCACTATTACTGGGAAGGAAGTCCACCTTAAATGTAGTCATGTAGTACTTGTTCTACTCTTGGAGGGTCGGGGTTGCTAAAGCCTTCTTGTAGTTATTCGCCGAGGCTGATCCAGCCTCAGGCTTGGAAAATCTCTCTCTACTTACCCTCTGCTTACCCCCATGGTGAGTGGCCCGGATCGTCCAGAATGAAGTTCACCCTGCACACCCCAAGCCCTCCCCACCCCACCTCCACCCCACTCAGTCCCGCCCCCAAGGAGCTTCGCTTTCTCAACAGCCGAGGCGGGTGCGCGATAGCGTCTACAATGAATTTCCAAACCCCAAACCCCAAATACTAAACAATTCGAGAAAAAATATCTGTCCCCCGGCTGTTTAGTACTAAACCCCAAACCCCAAATCCTAAACAATTGGAGAAAAATATCTTCCCAGCTGTTCAGTACTAAACCCCTACTAGACAATTGGGGGAAAATATCTGTCCCCCAGTTGTTTAATACAAAACAATTGGGGGGAAATATCTTTCCCCCAGTTGTTGATTAACCTAGACCCTAAACCCTTCACCCTAGAAACTAACAAGATCCCGAGCGGACCCAGATTCTTGCCGACGTCGTGCACCACAAGGAAAACGAGCATGCCCCACCAGTCATCTTCACCTGGATTGCTGATAGGGGTTTAGGGTTTAGGAACTTAAATTAAAATACTATAACAAGGAAACCCTGCTATTTACTATATACCCATAATATGGTAGCTTAATTCCAGTTCCTTAACAGCAATCCAGTCACAGGTCATATGAGCTGCAAACTTCCGGCAGAACTCTTTATACTCATCTTTCTTGTTGCCCATGTTGATAAACTTTCCTGGCACCTTGTCCATTGTCAAAAAACATGATCTAAACTCCCGGTATCCCCATAAAAACCCTAGAATACTCGCCTAGACTACTCCTCTCCAATACTCCCCTAGAACACTCCCCTATACAACCCCCTTGTAAGGAGTTGAGACCATGGCTCACCTTGTCCATGCTCATTGGGCCACGCTCACCAGCAGAGACACACTCTAGGCCAAAGTCTTCCTCAACGACAGAGGAATAGCACGCCAATAGGGCGATGATGGCCCCGACTGTTCGGTAGTACTCCATTGGGCTGTCGGAAATTTCCTCAACACCGGGACTTGTCTGGATTCGGCCCTGCTTGTAGTAGCTCAGCTCTGGGAAGGTGCTATCGAGCTCTTGCAGGAAATCCTGCACCAATGAGGTTTAGGGGTTCAGGTTTGGGGTTCCATCGATGCCTTTATGAACTATAATCTAAACCTCCCAGTCTTCCCCAATAACCTCTATAATCCACTAGAGTTCTGACTATTAGCTCCATGGGCACCCCTAAACATGACTTTCGGGATATTGCGAAGCCTTCTTCACAAACCAGGAGGTGAATATCAACGAGCTGTCAAAACCGGGAACCCTAAACCCTAAAATCCCTATAAACCCTAAACCCTAAAAACTAAACCCTGAACCCTCAACCCTAAACACTAATCCCTAATCCCCATATAAGCCCTAAATCCTAAAAACTAAACCCTGAACCAATGACAGGTCGAGGAACGTTGTCCCCGCATTGTGCGTGGCCAACACTGAAGCCTAGCTTGTGTTGATTTGAGGTTTGGGGCTTAGGGTTTCGGGTTTCGGATCATCAGGAATTTCTGTAAACAGCAGGAATCCACATATGCCCCATTGTACACAACGCCCAAAAAGGGACCCCTGATTTTCTCAAACCTCCATTTGGGGTTTCGGCATCAGGGTCTAGAACCTTAGACTAGCTGGTAAAATTCAACTTTGCGCCCACCCGTGCCCCTTACTAGTATACCTACCCCTTACCTTTGGTTAGCTTGGAATGAAGGAACGGATCCTTATATCAATCCCATATTATTCATTATAGTCGTTTCCAGTTTCTTTTCCATTCCACCATGGGCTATTAGACCCTAAAATTCCCTATTAGGACCCTATTAAGGGTAGATTAAGGTACCCTAAAGGTCTAATAGCCCGTAGTGGTTCCTTCATTCCCAGCTAACGAAAAGTACGAACGGTCCGAATCAAGTGCCCAAACCCGGACTGGGGGTGAGGCCGCGAGCTAACCTCCAAACTTCTAAGCCCCATAGCCGTTTAGGGTTCAGGGTTTCTGGGGTTTAGGGTTTATAGGGTTTAGGGTTTAGGGTTTATGGGGTTTAGGGTTTATAGGGTTTGTAGGGTTTAGGTTTTAGGGCTTCTGAAGCTCGAGAAGTTGTCACATCCTGCAAGGTGAGTTCCCTACTACTCAGAACCCAACATTACTGCAATCGCCGGCAAGGAGCTGGAACTGTGGACAGCTTTGCAGCATTGAAGTGCCGTAGCGCATCGACTGCAGCTTTTGCCAACTTGACAGTGAGGCCTCTGGAATTCTCCTTCACATCAAAGAACTTGTCTGCAACTTGGGCCAAAATGTTGTCACCCATGCGCATCCAATCGCAAAATAGACGACAGATTTGTCGCCACGAACAGCCCCTGGAGCGCAGGCTCCAGCAGCACCATATGCACCTTCACACAGCAGGATAAACCCTAAACCAGGAATTGGAGCAGGCAGTATTCGGGGGTTGCTTCATCTTTCTGGTCGCACCTTTGGTCCGGTGGACAGATCCCCTGAAAACTGCTTGCACCAGCCCAAACATGGGTGTTTCCCAAAATTAGGGGTACCATTTTGGGGGTCCCAATAAAAAGGACTATAGTATATTGGGGTCTATATTGGGGTCCGCTAATTTTGGGAAACTACCACATGGGTTGGGAAAGCAGATCGTGGCGAACACAAAGAATTTGGTAGCCAATTGCGCTGCCCCAGTCTGCAGATGTGCAGCTGGCGAAGTATTTCTGGATCTGGGGGGGGGTTAAGCTTTAGGGTTTAGGGAATACTGGGGACTACAACATACTTACCCTAGGAACCTAAACCCTAAACCCCTAAACGTAACTACGCGCACCTGGGCCCTGAGCCCTCAGCTCCGCCGCCAATCCCAATCATGCCAGATGCTTTGCAGTCACCCGGACCGAACCCCAAAACCTTAACCTTAAACCCTAAACCCTATACACCCTAAACCCTATACACCCTAAACCTTAAACCCTATACACCCTAAACCCTGAAACCTAAGCCCTAAACCCCCCCAAAAAAGATCGCTCAGGGATTTCGCCCGGGCATGCGGAACCTCTGAGCGGGAATCTCCCTAATGCCTAAACGCTTTAAGCTTTAGGGGGTTTATGAGTTTAGGGGTTTAGGGTTGGAGTTTCAGGGGTTTTGGGTGGTTTTAGTGGTTTTAGGGGTTTGCGCTTTAGGGGTTTAGGGTTTTAGGGCTATACCCTGAATCCCGAACCACAGGGTGATTTGGCGTTATATGGAGGCTTTATAAGGGATAATGGAAAAACATGGAAGCTACTATTTCGGGTTTAGGGTTAAGGGTTAGGTGATTTAGAATATTTTCGATTCCAATTTGAAGGCTATTTCGGTACTACTCCCTATGTAAACCACCATGTAGGGTGAGGTCAGGTGAGGTTGCTTTACATTGACCATAAAACAATGATTTTGGGTTTAGGTTAAGGGAACATGAAGCCTCAATCCGAGCGCTCCTCAAATCCGAAAAGAAAAAAAGTATGGTAATTGTTCCAAAAGCCTGTCCCTCCAACACCGTCTAGAACTCGAACCACGCGAACACTACAAACCCTGTTACAATCATTCAGGCGGCCTCAACCCTGAACATCTGTTGCGAACATTTGGTACGGTAGTAGATCCCATATGGAACCCAGCATGATAGAATTTCTATATGGGGACACCCAATATGGTATCCCTAATTTTCGGAAACCCACCCATTTTGGTTGCTAAACCTTGAACCCTAGACCCCTCCTTCGGGCCCACACCTCAAAGGCCTTAATCCTCAAGGTGCTTTCAATGTCACAAATCCTGTCCCTAAACCCGAAATCTTGAACCTAAAGCCTACACCCTAAAGCCCAAGCCCTAAACTCTAAACCCCAAGCTCCAAATCCCAAATCCTAAACCCTAATTCCTAAACTCTATAAACCCTAAACCCTAAATCCTCAGTTCTCGACTCCCGCGGCTTCCCTGCTTGGAGCAATGGTGGACGCCCTGAGGAGGCAAGCAGTCTGCTTTCTTGGGGTTTCAGGGGTTGGGATAAGGTTTAGGGTTTTAGGGTTTAGAGTTTTAGGGTTTAGGGTTTTAGGGTTTAGGGTTTTAGGGTTTAAGGTTCAGGGTTTGGGGGTTTAAGGTTAAGGGATTTAGGCTTAGGGTTTCATTAGGGTTTAGAGTTGAGAGGTCTTCAGGGCAATGGGGCTCAAGGATGCAGAGGTCTGCAACTTGAAGCCCTACCCTAAACCCTAAACCCTGAACCCCACACCCTAAACCCTAAACCCTAGCCCAAAACCCCTTACCTTAAAACCTAAGGCCTAAGCTCTAAATCCTAAGGAGGGCTTGGACTACCCTGACCCTTTCCCTTGATTTGAGACCGATAGGAAATTTCATGTCTGGGGCTTCAGACTGAGGTTTCTTGTATGCGGAGTTTAGTTTCGGGTCCAGGGATTTGGGGCTTGGAGTTGAGGGTTTCAGGATTAGAGCTTGGGGGCTATGAAGCTCTGGCAGCTACTCTTCAGGGTGATGGACCCCTCCTCTCCGGCGGCTCCAGCCCAAAACCCTCAACCCTAAACACTAAACCCCAAAACCCCCGTACCCCGAACCCTATACTCACTATTCATGGTGGTCAGGAAGCCGTGTTCCAACCCTCTAGAATGGAGGAATGGATCCCTATAGTAAGCCCGACATAACCTCCAATAGCGTAGTAGTTAGGGTTCAGAATTTCGGGTGTAGAGAAAAGGGTAGCCCTACATAACCTCCAACGGCATAATAGTTTCTGCTGCTTTCTATTCCTTCCATGCCCTGCTAACAACCAGCAAGCTTCAGGGGGGTCTTGAGGCAAGGTAGTCGGGACACCATGACTTGCCGGTAGGGACTGAAGAATGGGAACCGGAGCACTCTGCCCCCCATTATTATACGCAGTGCCCAGAGACCAAGAAGAATCGTTGAATACGAGTTCAACCTCTCGGCATGCAGCTTCTCATCAAAGGTTGTATAGGGGTTATACTGGGGTTATGTTGGGATAATGGAAAAGAAAATGGAAACTACTGAAGTATACTCTTCAGCGCTCGCAGCAGCACACTCTGCCTCATCGCGTTCTGTGGACGTGGTGCGAGTCCATGCACGGGTTGCCTGGAACTTGGGGGTTATAGGATACCCGTCGCTGAGATCGAAAAGGAGCTTGTCTCCCATGTAGAGGTTGCGACTCGTCATGGCGCGCTCAATAGCGTTACGTTTCGCTGAGCACAGACTGAGCCCTAAACCCTAAACCCTAAACCCTAAAGGGCGTCTGAGGTCTGCTTGTATGCCCCCCAGGCGTTGTCCAGTGTGGGCGGGTTATATCGGGATAATGGAAAAGAATATGGAAACTATAGGGATTATAGGGGTTATATAGGGATAATGGAAAAGGAAATGGAAACTACTATAGTGTACTCTTCAGCGGCTTAGGGTTTACAGGTGCAAACTGTTCCAGGCTTAGGGGTCCCAGGAGGCGCTACTATAGGGATCCATTCTCCCGTCCGCAAGAACAAACTAAACCCTAAATCCTAAACCCTAAACTGGGTTGCTGTTAAGGAACTTAAATTAAGTTACTATATTGGGGACACCCTATAACGTACTATATATACCCATTATGGTAACTTAGTTTAAGTTCCTTAACAGCAACCCAGTAAACGCCCGTTGGCCAAATAAACCACGCGTCCTACACTGGAAACCTGGGATCTGATCCGTCGTACCCCGAAGCCCTTCAATCTCCCAAATCAAAACGCAAAGGCTCTAAACCCGAAACTCTTAACCCTGAATCCAAAACCCTGAAAGGCGTTTAGGAATTACGGTTTAGGGTAAATTCTAAATCCTGAGCCCTACATCCTATAGACTCTAAACCCTAAACCTTGAATCCTAAACCCTGAGCCCTGTTTCTTCTCGTTTAGCTTCCGAGAGTTGGGCTTGTCTGCAGCATCCCGCAAGATCTCATGAAGGTTGGCGAACCTCTGAACAAGAATATATGGGTTATATAGGGATGATGGAGAAAATGGAAACTATAGGGATTATACGGGTTGTATAGGGTTATATAGGATTATATAGGGAT